TCCTCAAACCTTTTATTTTTAAACTTTATTTTAAATATTTTTTTATAATTTAATAATTTAATTACAATAGAAAGAGGATAGAGGAATACAAAATATAAACAAAAATCATAAATTATTAAACACTTATCTATACACAACATTATTGGTTTGATTTTCTTTCGAACCTTCTTCTCCACAAATTAAAATTTTTAGACCTTTTCTGTTAGTAACACGGGAGACAACGACATATAACTGGCCATGACTAAAAATTAGTTTCTTCAAAAATAAGCCAACATGCGATAATGATTGACCTTGACTCTTGTTTATAGTCATTGCGTACGAAACCATAATGGAGAAGTGCCTTCTTTGAAATTTGAATGGTACTCTAACATCAAAAGGAGTTATTGTCATCCGAGGTATCAAAACTTTATCACATGCATGATCGCTAGTAAGAATTTTACACTCGAGAACATGATTGGAGAGTTTAGTCACAACCAATCGTGTACCATTGCAGAGTCTCATTGAGTGATCCATATTCCGCAACAACATAACTGGAGTTCCGACCTTCAAATTCAATTCATGGTTCGGCGTTATAGAACACTTGATAGTGTTCATGAACCCAGGAGTATGGAGTTGTGCCACAAAGTCGGTATTGGAGTCGGATTTACACGTATTGTATGAACTTAAATACGTGCGACCCTCAGTCAAATTTAACGACGACATGTATTCATTAATAGATTCTACGATATCGAGTGTCGGCGCAAGTATAGCTCTATCCTTCAAGTAACTTGGATCGTCGGTTGTATTCTTGAACATCGGAAATGTGCTTTCAACAATTTTTGCTACTGGATCATCGGATGGCTCTCGTAATAGATCATTTGGTATGTCTATCGGAGATCATCCATCATTTTTACCCCTCAATGTTCCATCTCCAATGCTCGCTATCCAATCAACAAAAGCGGCAAACTCGTCATGTTCATTCGAATCTCCAATGCTCTGATGACGCATATTCTTTGTAAGCCTAAGCACAGTACATTCTCCCTAAATGCTAGAAGAGTTAATAGCAGCATTAACAATCTCCTGACGACTACCCTTTGGAACTACCAGAAGAATTTGTAGAAAGTCTCCACCAAACACAACAGTCTTGCCACCGAACGGTTTATGATGATTTGTCGGGTCGAGGGCTCCCATTACTATTTAAAAGATTCTTGAACAGCTTCAAAACAATGTTTATGCATCATTGGGACCTCATCTCATATGATCAATGAAGAGCGAATAATCAACTCAACAAGGGAGCTAGCCTGATTGATCTCACACGATGAATTTTCATGCACAGAAATAAGAATGCCAAATCGAGAATATTGTGCAGTTCGTCCGCCCGACAATAGGAAAGATGTTATTCCACTTGATGCAACACAAAGCACAATTCGACTGTACAATCTTAGCCAAGCAGCTAAAGTCCTCCACAAGTATGTATTTTCAGTTCCACCATAACCATACACAAAAAAACACGCCGCCCCTGCCGGAATGAACATATGTCATTATTTTGGAATAAACACCCTTATGTTCATCGGTCATATGTGTCAGCAATGCATCATGCTCAATAGCTAGAGCCTTACGGTCATAGTTGAGTTCATCCAAAACCAGACGGTTCGCACTTGAATTAATACTACCCATATCTGGAAAAGGCATAGTAGAAGAGTCCTTTATCCCAAACCCAACCTAACTCAACCAAACATAATATTTATTTTATATTTATTTATATATTTATTAAATATTATCTACAATATTTTTTTTGTTATTGTTTTAGTTGTGATATGATAAAATAAAAGATATGATAAAATTGATAAGTTACGGTTGAGAAAAAAGAGTGAAAAGATAGAAATTGCAATTATGTTCCAAAATATATCAAGAGTGGTCTCTATTATAGAGAATGAAAAATAATTTTTATTTATTTTTTTCATATTAATTAATATCAATAATTTGAGTTACAATTATCTTATTATAGAAAAATTTTATAGACCAATAAGAATGGGACACTTGCCCCATTTCACTCACCTTATTTCTCTCTCCCTCCTTGTGGCTAGGTTGCGATCTAGGGTCACAATTTGACCTGAGTCGCGGATTTTGCTATTTTTTATTTTTTTATTAATTTTTAGTTGGTGACCTAATAAAGATAGTATAATATTTATTTTATTTTTATTTATTTATTTAAAAAATATTATCTACAATACATTGTTTGGTATTGTTTTATCTACAACCTAACCCAACATAATAATTTTAATTGTGTTCCAAAACATATCAAGAGTGGTCTCTATTTATAGAGTATGAAAAAATACGAATTTTGGTATTTTTTATTTTATTTTTTAAAATAAAATAATATCAGTAATTTGAGTTATACATATCTTATCATATAAAATTTATAGTGGACCAATGAAAATAGGACAAGTGTCTCATTCCTAATGTATGAACGTTAGATAATATGGAATCTCCAAAAAATCTTCATGTAATCTTTTTATTTAGATTTTTTAATTTATTTATTTTTTCAAAATTTTTCAAAATTGGTTGGATGGCGCTCGAATTTTAATTTTTAGCCAAAAATCTTTCTCATTTTATTCACTTTGGGCGGGAATTGACTTCTTTTTTTTTTGCTGATTTTTTTTTCATGTTTTTTTAAATAAATATCATTCCCTCTTTATATATTAATAAATTTTGTGGTCGCAAAGTATTGCACAGAAGCTCGTGTGATCTATTATCATGGCGCCTAATACCAATCACGGTTTTGGCATATATCCATTAGTTTGATGTGGGCTAAATAAAGAACATAAAGGCCCAAACATTTCTTTTAAAGGCCCAAAAATTTTAATTTATTGGGGCTGTGGGCGAGTCCTATTATGTGCTGATTTTCGCATCGAGAACGGACCCAACAAAATCACAGTTCTAAATTTCACAAATCCCTCAGATAAATCCTCTGCATTTTCTTGTCTGTTTAATTATTATTTTGTTTTGGCCTCACGATTAGATCTTATGCAAAATGGAAGTCGAGAGCAACCAGGAGTCCGCCGTCGCCACCGATTCGCCGGCCGGAGTTGTAAGCAAACTATCTGTGATGATTTTTGCAGAGCTTAATTGTTTTCATTTTCCACTGCAGTTTGAACTTTCACTCGTTTTATTTACTGTTTAAGCTCGATATATACACATTGCTTAAATTTCCCTTTGGTTGTGGCCATTTTGGAGGGGTAAAATTGGGGATATTTTTCCCCAAATTTGCGTGTTTTAGATGTGCTGGGGAAGAAAATCTGTGTTAAATATAGCTGTGTTTAAATCTGTGTTAAATATAGCTGTGTTTGTCGTTTATGGTACTTCATGTTTATAGTTTCCCGGCGAGGCGTGGTGGCCAGGACTCTGCTGTTCTTAAAAATGTTTAGACCGATTCCTAACAAAATTGTATTCTATTTTGCTACATAGATGGCCAGCTGCAATGGTACTCCGATTTGTTATTTCAGGCGGAGGTTTCGGTTAACAAACTCGGAGTCCCTTTCCGAAGATTTGCTATTCAACGTTCTCGTTCGTCTCCCGGCTCAGAATATCCACGACTCGGCTCGGCTCGTTTGCCGCAGGTGGGCCCAGCTGACCCGCTCTCGTGACTTCACACGCGCGCACCTCCGCCACGCGGGCACTGGGCTCCTTTTACAAAGCAAGTCTTCAGTTCAGGATTTGATTTTTATCTCCGGTGGGCTGGGCCGGGCCGAGACTTCCCGGTTGCGCCACGAATCGGGCCTGGTTGTGTGGGCCAGCTCTCACGGCCTGGTTTTGGCGCCTTCACCTTCCGATTCACATACTCTCCGCATCGTGAATCCCGGAACAACCGAGTATCTCGATCTCCCTCCGGTTTTCCGAGTGGGAAGATATTACCAGCACAGTCTTTGTTTGATGTATGTGGGGGCCACGAACGAGTACAAAGTGGTGCAAGTCCAATTCACGATGGGCGTACGTGGCGGCGCGGATACCTATGAGTACGCCGTGTTGACTGTAGGGTCCGACACCTCGTGGAGGCTCGTAGGCACGGAGGACCGTCTTTCTCGTGAGACGATGGCTCTGTTGTCGATTAGTGGTAGCCCGTTGATGACCGATGGTTTCCTGCACTGGGTCCCGTATGGTGGCGGGTCTACTATTTTGACACTTGATGCGGAAACCGAGGTTATGACCGAGTCGAGGCTTCCCGTGCCTTTAGGTCGTGAGGGGAAGAGCGAGTTTTTATTGTCGGGAGGGAAGTATTTGACGCTTGTGGTGAAAAAGCTCGGGGGGAGTTTCTCATGGGACGTGTGGGAGATGAGTCCTGAGACGCGGGTGTGGAGAAAGACGGTTAGCATCGATTTGGACGAAGATGAGAGGTTAAAAGAGTTTATTCGGGACCGTGATGGAATTCGGTTTTTTCCAGAAGATGTGTTAGAAGAGTTTATGCGGGACCGTGATGCAAATGCTGTTCGGTTTTTTCCAGTCGGTTGGCTAAACTATCCGGAGGTTTTGGTGTTTGCTCCGAGTAGAGCTGGATATTGCATGTTGTATTGGGTTCGTACGCGTGAGATTGAGTCGATTGGTCTGCCTAGGGCTGCTGCAAGCTATGAGTATATGGTCCATCAGAGTGGATTGGTGTCACCCACAGGATGTTGATGGATATATTGAGATTGTGTTTCTTGTTTGGAAGTTATTTGTTTGTTTTTTTTTTTTTTTTT